AAAACTGGAGATCCATTTGCAGAAAAATGAAACAAGATCTGTACCTCACACCATACACAAAAATGAACTCCAGATGGATCAAAGACTTAAATGTGAAACCTAAAACTATAGAGGTCCTCTAGAAAAACCTAGGGGAAAATTTAGGGGCCCTAATATATGGCATAAATAGACTATCAAACATAACCCAAAATGCACAAACAGCAGAAGAGTAACTAGATGAATGGGGCCTTATAAAAATTAAATTTTTATGTGAATCCAAAGACTTCTTCAAATGAGTCAAAAGAGAACCTATAGATTGGGAAAAAATATTTGGCAATGACATATATGACAAGGGAATTATCTCTAGAATTTATAGAAAATTCCAACACCTCAACAACAAAAAGACAAATAATGCAATTAAAAAATGGGCAGAAGACATGAACAGACACTTCACCAAAGAGAATATTCAGGCAGCCAACGATCACTACCCATTAGAGAGATGCAAATCAAAACAACAATGAGATACCATCTTGCTCCAGCACTAGTAGCGAAGTTCAACAAGACAGAAAATAACACATGCTGGCAAGAATATGGAGAGATTGGAACTCTCATACACTGCTGGTGGGACTGTAAAATGGTACAACCATTGTGGAAAGCAGTATGGCAATTCCTTCAAAAGTTGGAATTAGAAATACTATTTGACCCAACCATTCCATTACTAGGTATGTATCTTAAAGAAGTGAAAGCCAGGACAAGAACAGACATATGCACACCCATGTTCATTGCAGCACTATTTACAACAGCCAAAAGATGGAATCAGCCTAGGTATCCATCAACTGAAGAATGGATAACAAAACTATGGTTCATACACACAATGGAAACCCTAAAGAATAACATAGAATCTGCAAAACGTTGATTCAATAACGTAGAATCCTGCATAACGTGGATGAACTTGGAGGACATTATGCTGAGTGAAATAAGTCAATCATAAAAGGACAAATATTGTATTAGTCCATTAGTCCAAAGAAATTTTCTTTGTTGGTTATCAGGTGTGGGAAGGGAGAGGAGCGAACACTGTTAGATAGGTAGAGATAAGTATTGATTTGGGTGAAGAGAAGTACAATGTACCAATAGTGGGTGATCAACAAAGTGGCACTGAGGAAGAGGAAGTCAGAGAAGTACATGGGAGGTATAGATAACAAAGATGAACCCTTTTGCACATACAGTACTGCATTGTCAGTGAAGGCAAACATGAATATATGGGTAGTTAGATGGGTGGACAGGCTGAATTATTAGTATGTCTACCAGAAACCCAAGGAGGGGTCGCTATGAGTCAGGGCTGACTCGACGGCACATAACAACAACAACAACAATCCAGGGGGGAGGAGCTCTGGTAGCTTAGTGCCTAAGGCACTTGACCGCTAACCAGAAGGCTGGCGGTTCAAACCCACCAGCCACTCCTTGGAAGGAAGGTTGGGCAATCTACTCCCATAGTGATAGCACCTCCGAAACCCAAGGAGGTGTCGCTATCAGTTGGGTCCAACTCGATGGCAAATAACAACAACAACAACAACAACATCCAGGGGGGAGTATGCCCAAGACCATGTATATGGTTGGCAGACAATGTTTCTACAAGTATATTGGTATGTTCTATAAGAATTGCAGGTGTACAGTAGAGCTGATAAAGGACTAGTTTCTAGTCACTTATTGGGCACAGGCAGCTACGCAAAGGGAGCGAATAGTTGAACCTGTAAGCTTGGGACTATAGTCACAGGGGACATCAAGCTCAATAGGCATAACACACTACACAAAACATTATTCCACTCCTACTTTGGCGAGTAACGACTGGGATCTTAAAAGCTCGCGAGCAGCTATCTAGATGCAATAATGGGTCTCTCCACGTCCAGAGCAAAGAAGAATGAAGAAAACCAGAGATTCATGGAAACAATTAGTTCAAGCAACTGGTATGCCATGTGATCCTCAACTTATATGACTATGAGACCAGAAGAACTAGATGGTGCCCAACCACCACTGTCAACCACTCGGAGGGGGATCTATGTAGGAGATCCTGGATAGAGAGGGAGAACAAATGTGGAACAAAACTCAAAATCACTTTGGGGAAAAAAAAAAAAAAAGGAGGGGGACCAGGTTTGCTGGTCTGATGGAGAATGATGGAACCACTGAGACTATGGCCCCTAGTTGCCCTTCAGGTCTGGAATTGAGCCCACACCTGTGGCTTCCAGTCAAACAAAA